ACAATGAGCCCGTCAGAGGAGGAACGGGGCGGCCGCGCAGTCGGTCACAGGAGCGCCCCGCTGTAACCCGACCCGCTGCTGGAAAGCTTTCCAGAAAAGCTGAAAGTGTTTCGTATTTACAGGTTTCCTCTTACAAGGCCTGATCTTTGCAAGAAGTGGGAAGCTGCTGTCAAAAGGAAAAACTTTAAGCCAACCAAGTATAGCAGCATTTGCTCAGAACACTTTACTCCCGATTGCTTTAAAAGGGAATGCAACAACAAGCTTCTGAAGGAAAACGCCGTGCCCACAATATTTTGTTATACTGAACCCAGTGTAAAGGTAAACCCAGAGCACTCACAGCTTGAGGTGCTGGAATGCATGTTGGCCTCGCAGGGCTTGACGTAGCAGAGCAGCTGGGAGAAGATGCAGATTGTGAAGGGTTCTGGGTGAGCGTGTGCACCTGGAGGCACGTGGAGGGCTGTGATGATTTAAACAGCTGTTCTCATTTGCTTTTACAAGAGCAGAGATGTAGGCCGTCTGAAGTTCTGGAGTACACAGAGGCGCAGTAGCTCCAGTCCGCTCTTGTGTGCCTCCGCAGGCTGAGCAGCCTAACTTCAGTTAAAACCTTGTGCTGAATTAAATAGAATGGCAACAAAGTAAGAAAGTATTGTCCTGTGGATAAGTTGTTCAACTGTATTTGTTGCGTTTGGAGTTTCAGAGAGCCTTCCATAATACTCTCCCATGCTGACTGGTGGCTACTGCTAATGTTGAAGAGACAATGGACCTTAGTTCCGAAACTTAACTGTCCTCTCTAAAGGGCTCTGCCCTTTGGCTTTACAGAGTTGAAGTGAGATGCAGAGGTGCAGAGCAGTAGCTGCATCTGCTGTCTGTCTGTGCTGAAACCAGTTCTGTCTTGCCTTAGCAGTTACCTTGTGTTCATAAGCCAGACTGGTCCCTAACTTCTGTCTATGGCCTTCTGATGGTGGTCTCCTGTGAGATGTATTGTTCCTTTCACTGTGCTGCTAAAGCAGCTTACCATGAGATGCAAGTCAGTTATGAGTTCTTCCTTCTTGATGTAATAACTGCAACACAAGAATGGAAAGAATTGAATCTTAACTCCTCTAGAGGATGTAGAACATTAGGTATCTTGCCACTCTGACATAGGGAAAGTGGCAAAGGGAGGAATGGATATGACAGGTCTAGGGGGTGAAAGACTGTAATGGGATGAAGTGCACAGAAGAAAACGGGGACTTTTGCTTGTTTGATTTTTCTCTTTATATACAATATTGGCTTTGATGCAGAAATAAAAAGGGAATGTACTTGAAAAGTGGATAATAACAGATAAGATAATATAAGCAGAAAGTTTATAAGGAAAGACAGACAATTTCCGGGTAAATATGTCTGTGTTTTTTGTTTGGTGCACTTCCCTGCTATTTGTATGACATTTGTCATATATATATGTATGTATTTGTCGTGTGTAAAATAGTAGCAACATTTTTTTACAGTCTGAGAGTTGATGGATGTATAGGGTAATCTGCAAAACTGCGATTGGTGCAGTAGGATTAGTGGTGAGCCGCATTCCCCATTTCATAATCATGCCAGGATCTACAAAAACCCAAAAGAGTGCCTTTTGTTTATGGAGAAGTGCCTAGGGCTATTCCTGTTTGTGTGTCAGTGCTTTTAGATGAACTGCAACATATCTTCAAGAAATAACATAGTAACACAGAAGAATAGTAGTGGTTGTTTTGGAATTGAATCCACACTGATTTTGAAATCTTTTTATCTGTTGTATTAAGTAATATGAAATACTTTATTTTTCTTTACTTTACTTATGCCTTAGGAGAACCATTTATTGGCTGTAAGAAGTAATTAGAATTCAATTACGATGTGTCAGTGATACCAACGGTCTGCTGTCCATGATGCGTTGTGACAATAGTAACGTATTTAAAGAGGTAGCACGTGCTGGGTAAGCTGCAAGCAAAAGTCTCTGTGTGAAGTCAGGTGTCCAGCAATGATCTGATTTTCACTTGTCATTCCAACAAGGGTGAATTTCTCTTTGCCAATTACATCTTTGCCTTGTAGGTTTTTTTAGTAGAAAAGTTTAAAAGGGATAGCTGATAGGGTCAAACTCTAGAATATTCATGTGTGAATTAGATAGGCACACTGTTAGCAGAAATTTCTTATAGTTGACGAATAAGAGTGTTAGCAGGCTGGTTTTGTACTTTAAAGTGATCAGGACTATTTGAGCACATATGAAACTTCCCTTCAACACCAGTCACAAAACTGCTTTCTCAGTTACTGTCTGCCAAGTAGTGTAGTTTGTATGAGAGGGATATCTAGACCCTCCAATATCACGTATTAACTTGTTTGCATGTTAAGTCAAGGAAGTTAAGGACATGACCTTCATATCTGATGAGCTTGATACTTAGATGATGAGGATTGTCAGCTGCTTTTATAGTCAGCATTGTCCCTGTCTTTATGCTTTTATATATAGTAGTAATAGTGGCAACAGATGGGTAGTTAGAAAATTGGTTCAGTGTCTCTGTCCCTGAGAATGTGTTAGGCTTTCTTTTTCTCAGGCAACAAGCAAGCTCTTTTCTTTGAAAAGTGCTTTTTTGTCATCATGTGCAAGAAGCATATCTGAATTACAATGCATTCCTTTGGGGCAGAAAGACTGTGATTCTCTGCTCTGGCCTATACTCAAGTGGTGAGGGGTCCGTGTTGTCCTGAACAGTACAAGTGAACCTATCGAGAGCAGTATGATAAAGACTGCAGTTTCATGTGGAGTTGAGCCAGTCGATATTCTGCTGATGCCAAAAGGAAGAATCGTGCTTCCCCGTTGCATCTGCCAGCCATGCAGTCCTGTTTCTCACTCCTTCCATACACCAGCACAGGTGTACCTCCTGTTGCATTGCTTTGACTTTTAATAAGGACAGAAGATTTCTGCAGTGATGGTTAGAGAGCAAATAGCTTTCCATCATCTTAGCAACTTACTATGTTTGAGCAAAGAGTAAATACCAGGGCTGGGAGGGCTGCTTTGCTGTTGAGGAGCTGTTTATTTTGGCTTCATCATGTCTCTTGAAAGAAAAACTTTATTCTGCAGCCCGAAACCAGTGACACAGCCCCTTCCAGTTGTTGAGAGGCAGGTCTTGCTGTGTCTACCTCTCTGCTCTGCCAGCTTATCAACCCCCTCAGTAGATGACCCTTATTCTACCTCAGCAGGTTATCCACTTCTGCTGTGGTTTTTTTTTGTTAAGCTAGCTGATAGGTTCAAACTGTATAAAGGCAAGATGCGGCAGAAAGGGGGGACAAAAGGGAATGGAGTGGCCGTGATGAGTTGTTAGGTCAGCTGAACTCTGTTCTATGGAACTGCAGCCTGCATTCTTGCTGCTTAGCTAATCATGGAGATATATTGACCTAAGTCTTCAAGTGAGAGTAATTTCTATGTTCTTCAGATTTTTATATATTTGAGACATCAAGGACTTGATTTTCAAAGCGCCCTGAAAACAAAGCTTCTTAAAAACATCTCCAGTTTAGAAGCCAGAAAAAGCAGGCCCGGAACTGTTTGTCAGTTTTGAAAATGTAGGCTTTAAAATTCGTTTTATTACTTTAAATCCTGGTTGTTTATGTTATTCTGGGTCTGTAGTAAGGGAGTTGTCTTCTAAACAATGTTAAGCATGAAAACATATTTTTTTTCTTGTTGTTTTTAGTCTGAAGAGCTTGCAGAACAGCCAGAAGATCCACTACCACCTCCTCCACCGCCGCCACCAACACCACCACCAGCAGCTCCAGTACTACCACCATCTCCATCAGCTCCTTCTTTTCATTTATCTCAAATAGATGCCAGATTTGTAGATCCAAGTATTGGATTGTTGATGCCTCCCCTCCAGACCCCTAGCAATCTTGCTGTTTTTTGTGATCACAACTATACTGTAGAGGATACCGTTCATCAGCGAAAAAGAATTCAGCAGCTGGAGGAACAAGTTGAAAAACTGCGGAAGAAGCTCAAGACAGCGCAACAGCGATGCCGACGTCAGGAAAGACAAATTGAAAAACTGAGAGAGATTGTTCAGTTTCAGAAAGAAAAAGACATACTGTCAGGAAAAGGCTATGTGATTCTGCCCAATGACTATTTTGAAGTTGTAGAAGTACCTGCCTAAAAGTCATGAACATCAGCTTTCACTTCGCTAGGCCAAGAAATTTAGTTTAAAAACTAAATGCTGTCTAATTCTGTATGTAAGACTCTCCAGAATTCCAAAATAGTAAATAAGCAGTCATACAAATGAGATCACATTTTTTCTTCATTGTCGTTTCAATTTGATACACTTTTAATATATTGAAATTGCAAGCATCTCAGAATTAGAATATGCATTTAGTTTACAAAATCCGAATTGCTTTACAGAAGGAAAGGATGCAAAGTTAAATGCATTTAAAATCTGTTAATTTTTTTCTTTTTTACAATGGCTATCTTATGCTTGCAGGGGATGGGTATCTGAATCTGTCTGAGAGTGAAGTTGATTGTACACTTAAGTGTGAAGCTTTGTCACAGCACTTGATGTTGGCTTTGGTGATACCCAGGAAGTAGTTTTCATTGATTTTGGAGGGAGCAGGATTACGTCATCTAAGAACATCTGCAAGTGCTGCAGAAAGATACAGGGAAGTAAGATACACATTTCAGCCTGGGAAAACTTCCAACCTCAGTTTGCTATGCCTTCAAAGCACTGCAAAAAGTCTAATTCCGGGATCCTTTTGTTGTGGTATGTAAATGAACCTCTTATTTTGGAGTAACCTTTTACCATGTTTTATATTGTGAGGGAGATGAGGAGAATTCATTAGCATAGCTGATGAGAGCTGTAGAAGAGGCTTTTGTTTTGAGGGCACTTAAAAATATTCCTGGAGCGCATTGCTGCTCTGAACATGTATATTGTTGGACTGTTGGCAGCATCAAGAAGGCAGCTTAGGGTGACTGCTTTTCAAAAGTACCCTGATAATATACAGTCCCCAATATGTTGGAGTGTGATGTTCCCATAAGCACTTCAACAGGTAGAATGTTGTTCTCGTCTTTGAAATTGTCGGTCTTAACTCACATCTCAACTGTGTGTAGCTTCAGGAAATGAAGTTTCTTTGCTTATCCAGGGCATTTGTGACTTTCATTGCAGTAAACTGTGATTTTCTGTCTTTCTGTGTCTCTCTTCCCTCTCCCTGCCTCCCCCCCCGCACCCCCAAAACGCATCCACCAAAGAACACTTAATGGAATTAGACTTTGGGAGTTGCTTGGTGCTAGACTGGTTTTTAACATCTCAAATGCTGCTGCCTCTCCTTTAGCCTTATTAAGACTCTTTCTAAAAATGAATTTAGCATGATAAAGTAGTGCAGCAGTTTGCACTTACTAATAATTTGTTTAGTCAATGAACTCATTCAAACTCAGAGGAAATGGAATCATGCTAACCCTGTTATAGCCTTCACAGCTGAAATTCCTGGATGTAGTGGACATGAGGAAAACTACTTTTCTCAATCCATGTCTGATGCATGTAGTGTGGATTCTAGCTCTGATACTAAGTCCTGTTCATGATGGCTTTGAAAGCTTCCCTTAATACTCTGTTAGGATGACATTTTGAAATGTTTCGAATCAGTCTTGATACTTCTGACCTCACTCCTGCCATGTGTCTACTTTCCCTGCCATTTAATAATACTTAAGATGAAATGTGTACATTTATTATACCTGATTAAAAATAAAAAGCAAATGGTGTGTTAGATTTTTAACTGCTCTCTCTCCTCTTTCTCTGGGACATTTGCCAAAACTGACTTGACATTTTGTATCCTTTTTTGTAGTTGCCTGGTTTAGATGCTGTCTTTTTTCTCACAGTGTTCCCAAGTCTTGTTGCTGTTACTCTGTACTTAAAATAAACTTGAAAATGCTCAAATTCAAAAATGACAAGGAACAGACATTTAAACAACTGTTGCTATGCTGTTGGCATGAGTGGCCAGATAGCAGATTGTTTCTGTTTCCTCTGCAGAATACCCTCTTCTTCTTACTCTGCAGGAATTTGAAGTTGTGGCTTCCTGAAGTCCAGTGGGTTGCTGTAATACCACACCCCTGTGGTTGGGGTGCTCCTGCCGTCCCCCTCTTCCCCCAGCCGATTGTCTGTGTACTCCCATTACCACCCTTCTTGTCTGCACCAGTCCTGGTGCTGGTTCCATCCTTCTGGGGGGGAATTCAGCTCAATGAAGCAGCAAGTTTGGCTTGTAGTGGGTAGGCAGCAGAAGACGAACAGTATCAGATTTGGTAAGAGAAAATGCAGGGACAGGAACTGGGGATGGGGAGAAATAAGTCCTCTCCTCTGGCTGCAATGAGCTGTTGCATTGTAGCTTCCTACTCTCAGCATTCAGCACTCTTTTCTTCCACGCTGGCCAAAGATTCCCAGCTCCCTCCAGTTTATGCTCTGGCTGCTGTACTTCTTGGGCCCTTCCTTCAGTTATTCTAGATTCATAACCCTCCAGAAAAGCAGCCCAACAAAAGTAAGTCATCAAAGTAAATTTAAGGCACGCTGATAGGTGGCTCGTGTAGAGTTCTTGTGTTTAAGCTTTTCATGCTGGTGAAGCTGGTTTAATGGCTGACTCAAGTAAATGTTCCTTCCAGTGAGAGGGGTGATTTTTGCTTGTCCTGAGGGTTTCAGTAGTACCAGGCTGAAGAGGGGAATGCTGCACAATTGCTGATGCTGCCTTTCCTGTTATCAAAGGATTTTAGTAAGATGAGGGTCAGTCCATTCTGATAGTGAATGGGCTTGAATTTCTCCTGCAGCAGCTTTTTTTTTTTTTTTCTTTAAGAAATATTAACTCCTGATGCAGTGATGTTAGGACTAGGTGTGGACTCTGCTAGACCCATGATGGCTGTAAAGATCACAGAGCTCTGAAGTGGGGAAAAAAGGCTGATGCGGAAACAACTGATTGTCTTTCAGCAGTTGACTTTTCCCGCGCTGCACCCTACCCCACACTATCATAGAATCACAGAATGGTTTGGGTTGGAAAGGACCTTAGAGATCATTTAGAGATCATCAAGTTCCAACCCCCCTGCCATGGGCAGGCACACTCTCCACTAGCACTATACTGCAATCTGTCCAATTGATAGCCTTCATCTTCTTATACTGCTATCCACTACTGGCCAGGCTAGGAAAGGAATTCTAGCTTTTCATGTAAAATCAATAAGCACAGTATATTCCCCAAGCACTTGTTAAAATTTACGTTTTTTTGTTTTTGTTTTTGTTTTTTTTTTAAATAGGATCTGTTACATTCATGCAGTCAGCTGTAAAAAAAGGGCTGCATCACTTACTGTTTGTATTGGCCACAACTGGTACTTGCATGTAACAGTGATTTCGTAAACATCTCTGAAAAAGTGATTGTCAGCTAAAAACCAGAGGTGGGAATGTAGAACGGCTTGTGGTTGTCCAGTTGCACAGGAAGTAGCTGACATTTGTTTAAATGCGTGTAACTGCACTTCACTGAAGCCTATTTCATAAACCAAGAATTCAAGAAAGTTAGAAAGTAGCAGAATTGGCAAAAATGGTCCATCTTTAAAATCTGGACAGAGAGATTTGTTTTGAAATGGGCTGGTGCTTCAACAGGCAGAAATTAGAGCTGCTTCTAAAAAGAGAAGTGTTGACTTCCCCTGTTGCCCCCATTTCCCTTTTGCCGTGGTAGGGTATCTGACCTGTGTGTAGTGCTTACTTTTTTTTCTCCTTACACATCTGCAAAGTAGTAGACTTCCCTGTGTAACTGGGGCAGTTGAAACACAGAGGTATGTTTTATGGGGAAAAAATGAGTAGCTAAATACTTGCATTACTGCTTGTCACACTGAGGGAGTCCTTTGTCACTGCCCTTTTTTCTCCTCTGCTTCCAGTTGCCATCTTGTCTATGTTGTGGTCTTAACAACTGTGGCAGCAAATTAATGAAACAGGTTTCCAATAAGTCTTCTGTCTTGCTGAGATTTCATGTTCCTTCAGCTCTACATAGGGTTTAGGGTTCAGGTGCCCTGTGTGCATTTTGAAGGAGTTCTCTTGCAGCTGAAGAAAGTGCAAAGCAAATCTCAGTTTGAAAGTGAGAAGAAGGAAAGTGAAGTAGTTGCTTGGGTAAAACTAAAACCACAACAGTTTCTGAGTCCATTTCAAAAGGCTTCTGTTGCATGCTTCTCTGGAACCAGGAGGTTATTCCTACTTGCCCTTTTGCTTTGTGTCTTTCCTGAGATCTGTTTTAGGTTTTGGTCTATAGGCTTATCTGTTTCCTGTCAGCTTACACCTTCATCAGGTGGCTTTGGCAGGGTGGAAAGGGGTGTTTTGAGCTATTGTCTAATTTTAACAACCAAAACACAATCTGCCAAAGCACATTGATGCTTACAGCCTGTCATGACTGCAAGTTCAGGTCTGTAACTCCTGCTGTTTTAAGCACAGCAGGTTATTTGCTATACTTTAGCCATGATAATGATTTATTAATAAATGAGAAAGAGCAAAACAGGATACATGATTCAAAAACATGATGATGACTGTAATTGCTATTACAGATTTCTCTTTGTGCTGTTTAATGCTTTTAAAAGAAATTTTATCTTGTTATAGGATCTTTTGATGGTACTGCAGCATTTTTTTGCACAAATTGGGCAGAAGGCCTTACAGTGTTGTACAGACTGAAGAAGTTAAAAAGTGTGCAGAAAAAATGTGTTGCAAAGTTGTTTATTCCATTCTGAATAATTTGAAGCAGTTCACAAAGGAAAGTAATTTTAAATATTCTTAAATCAAAGAAAACATTTAAATCAATAACTCAGAAGGAAATTTTCAAGAACCTCTCTTGAGAATAGATACATTACATTGTCATAATTAAATCACTGCAATAATTAAAGGTCTCCACAGTCCTGCCACTGTTAGTTTGTTTAGCACTGAATATAAAGCTTTTATTAGCTGTTGTGCAATATGATCTAGTAATCCTGTAGCTGCCTTCTCCCATTCTACAGGGAAAACAAAACATAAAGCCTCAGCTCAAACATTCCTGGAACCTCTGAAAAGGTGATTGTCCCCTGCATCTTAATTGGTTCTAGTGGTCTAATAAAAGGTCTTGTAGCTAGTGATCTATTAAAAGGTCTTTTAGTTAGGGAGGAGCATGGGGAATACCATGA